GCATTTCTATGGGATTGACATACTAGCATGAATGGGTTCAATTATCAGTGTTCACTGATGACGTCATTTGACTGGCCCTCTAGAGGCGAAATGACACCAGGAAAAGCGGAAGTTTGTCGACTGATTCACAGCCCGTTTTATACCCGATATTTAGGGCATTTCGCAGCACATACAAGTTGTTTTTATCGACAGAATTCATTCATAGATCTCAAATTTCATGTACAGAGTGTCAAAAGCCACACCTCTGCTCCCCTTTAATATTTAGAAACTGGAATTCACGAACAATGAGTAATCTATTCAAACCAAGTGTCATATATTAATTGAAAGCTTAATGTTTTGTTTTTTTTAAATAATTGAATAGACATAAACTATCTTCGCATCTAAATAAATGCTATCCATTGTAAATTCGGATACATATAATTTTTTCATCTGAGACATTATTGTACACCGCATTATTGCTCCTACCTGTTTCCTCCTGCAAACACACCTGCACATCACACTTATTTAAATCATTGTTAACATTCTCCAGTTGTATACCAACATAACGCCCACTCAGTTTACAATTAAAAGTGACCTTCTCTCCTTCCATATTTGAAAAACAATCAAGTTTTTCATCACATTGATCATTTTGGCTTATATCAAGATTGTCACCAATTGTCAATACAGCCCCGTCAATGCCATCTACTGTAATGCATAAAAAGTATTTTCTTTCAAGTATGCATTAGAAATAATAACAAGTCTTGCACTGAAATACTGATATATTTAATTTATTTTAACTAGGGGGGGAAATATAAATTATACACATTCAATAAGTCAAGGTGAGTGCAGTGACCTAAAACTTTCTACTTGCAACGTTACTGTGATAAAAACAAAGTGGACCAAGAACTAGCATGCAACGACCATAGATATTATTCGTGTAGTTGATATTGGTGAAATCGTCGCAAAGTTGATGAAAAAAATACAGACGCCGATAAGTGCCGTACGCTAGATTGCGTTTGTCGATTCCAGTTGACACAAATATAACTCTGTCGCTTGATCTTCACGTTTGGGACTTACTTCCAAACACGGGGAACCTATTCCACTATGACTCGCATAATTAAAACACGCTCTCGTTCAGAAAATTAAAATGGTGGTATGACATATTATTGATAGACACTTACAAAAACATTCCTGTTGATTTGTTATGACAACTTGCGATATATCGTATGTTGCTCCTAAATCTGCTTCCCAACCACTGCCCTGTATTTCTGGAGCATCTACGGCACCTTCGGACATATCACTTTCTGGTTGAAATTAAAGTGTATAATAACATCCACGGTTATATATACATATTGTATGTGACTACTCAAGTTTTACTGTAATTCGAAAAACGACATCATGCCAATTTGGTATTACAGATTCGACATTTCCCATACCATATTGAATGAACATGATATATGGTCTGTTTTATTTTGCCGAGTAATAACGTGTTTAATATTTTACCTGAATATATCATCCCATACACCTCCACTTCACACATGTGTAAATAGTTGTTATGATCTTTCAGTTGTACGGCAACATAACGCCCACTTAGCTGACAATCAAATGTGATCTTCTCCCCATATGTGTTTGCGTTCCAGTCTATTTGATCTCCACACTGGCCATTTTGGCTTATATCAGAACTGTCACCAATAAATACGACGGCACCATCAATTCTTTCAGCTAAAAAAAAAATAAATGAGTAATTTACCATGAGAAATAGATATATAAACATATATTAACTCGTAAATTGTAAAGGTGAACCTCAAATTACAACAGCTTAGAACGAAATTCTCACAATACAAAACATCGCATTGGTTCAACATTATGCGATGAAATGATCTAAGTAAGTGTTTATAGCACAATATATTATTATCCCGTTTTCTTAACTGAAATATAATCATACAGTTAGGAAGGAAGTCATTGTCCCTTTATATTTAACAAGGCTAGAACAAACTGTATATGTTCTGTAAGATTCAAAACGTAACATGGTGTACATACAAGATTCACATATCTTCCATATCAAATACATTTCATTATGTTGAAACGTCCTCTGTTTGTTTCGAAAATTATGCATCAGGATTAAACCCATGACTTCTAAATAAACATTGACCAGTAATATTGCAGACATAAACACCTTGACAAAGGAAAAGATCATGCTATGCCTTTTTTTTATTTATCATCAAATCAACTGAATGCGAGAACTATAGTTCACAAGAAGACGGTAAACTACAAGTTTCTGTCATACTTGAAGCAGAAGGGGCGTCATGCGCAGGTGAAACTGACCCACTTTGAACAATCTGTCTAATACGTCTTACATGCACACTGAAACAATCTTTTCAAAAAGGCTAATTCCTTCAGACCTAACATTTTATAATCTGCAATTCACTATTATGCCCAATTTGGTCATAATGTTGATGGTTATCTTAATGTTATTTCAGATACAACTCAAAAGACAATATAATACGAATGAGGACTCAGATATCTGTAAAATAACAACTGGACCAACTATTTAGTTTCACTATGGAAATTCGTGATGAGCATACCGGAACCTGGCAAATACTGTATAATACTTATATATCTATGTGCGTGCATTCCTGGAGTGGTAATTTACCTTTATCGGTTCTGAATTTTGATATCGATTGTACCCGACGCTCTAACATACTTACAACAACAATCCTGTCGATTTGTTATTACCACTTGAGATATAGAGTATGTTTCTCCCAAATCTAGTTTCCACCAAGCGTCCTGCTCTTTTCCAGTATGGCTACAACTTTTATCACCATATATGGAATCATCATTCCCATCAATAGCGTAATTAGCTGGTCCATCGTAAGCAGTGCTGATCTGGCTTGCAGTCCCTTTTTGTGCAACATTTTCTGGTTCAATTGAGATTATAAAAAAAAGCGATAAGCACATCATATTGCAACAAATTCAAATTAATTAAATTCCTTTTATTTACCGGTGCAATTCCAGAACATAAAGCGTGGAGTCAAAATTATGTCAGTTTGTTGAATTGTTTAGCTACATTACTAAGTACACTTCAATGAATTGAATTGAATCAAAGTAAACTAGTAGAAACAGCTTTAGTATTTTTACCGAGTTTTTCTCCCTCAGACGCCTCTTGCTTTTCCCCATACACTTCCACTTCACACATGTGTAAATAGTTGTTATGATCTTTCAGTTGTACACCAACATAACGCCCACTTAGCTGACAATCAAATGTGATCTTTTCTTCATACGTGTTTGCGTTCCAGTCTATTTGATCTCCACATTGGGCATTTTGACTTATATCAGGATTATCACCAATTAACACTACAGCTCCATCAATTCTCTCAGCTGAAATATAATATAGTGTCATTTAATAGGTTTGATGAGCATGCAAAGTAAAGGCGTGCTGTATATAGTATAGTGATTAACTTAAAATAACTGGCTAGGATAGAAACTGCAAAAACCAAACATTTGTTGTTAGCCTTATACCATGGCACACATATACGGTGAAAAAGTGCAAGTAAGTGTTCTTATCAATACGTATAGATGATCCAATGTAATTAAATATTAATTATTAAATAATTAAATAAATAAATCGATCGATCAAGAAATACATTAGCATTTAGATGTTAGCCACAGTGCCCAGGATACATTGCATTAAATTAAACTGATTTTCTTTGTGAATCACTAAATGTAAAACTATGAAAATGTGATACAATCGTGCTCACTCTATGGTAATTTTCTTTCCTAGCGGATATCTACTTACAACAGCAATCTTCACGATTGGTTATTACCACATGAGATACGGAGAATGTTTCTCCCAAATCTAGTTTCCACCAAGCGTCCTTCTCCTTTGCAGTATGGCTACAACTTTTATCACCATATATGGAATCATCATTCCCATCAATAGCATAGTTAGCTGGTCCATCATAAGCAGTACTGCTTTGGCTTGCTGTCCCCTTTAGTGCAATATTTTCTGTTTGAGTACAAAATATTAAAGAAAAGATTAGATCGTATAAAAATGTCATATTTTACCAAACACACGTAATGTCATGTGCTACTCTTCAAACTATGGAATGTTTTCAGTAGTTGATTTATTGACACGTAATTGTCTATTGGATGATGGGATACATGAACCGTACTTGATCTTGAACACATACTTCACCTCTCTGTGCTATTACATACCACGTAACGGTGGTTTCTCTCCAAAGACCTCAACTTCACACATGTGTAAATAGTTGGTATGATCTTTCAGTTGTACGGCAACATAACGCCCTCTTAGCTGACAATCAAATGTGATCTTCTCTTCATATGTGTTTGCATTCCAGTATATTTGATCGCCACATTGGTCATTTTGGGTTATATCAGAATGTTCACCAATTAACACCACAGCTCCATCAATTCTCTCAGCTGAAATATATACATATGTGTACTTAATGGCATAATCGTAAACGTTCCATGTAGTAATAAATGCACCATTGTAAATGAATAATAACATTTGAAGATATAAATTGTCAGGAACTCAAAGCATAAATTTAAATCTATATTTGGACAAGAGTTACACAGCAGCATCTTTCTGCTTAAATGATATACTCACAACAACAATCCTGTCTATTTGTTATTACCACCTGAGATATAGAGTATGTTTCTCCCAAATCTAGTTTCCACCAAGCGTCTTGTTCCTTTGCAGTATGGCTGCAACTTTTATCGCCATATATGGAATCATCATTTCCATCAATAGCATAGTTAGCTGGTCCATTATAAGCAGTGCTGCTTTGGCTTGCTGTCCCTTTTAGTGCAACATTTTCTGTTCGAGTACAAAATATGGAACACAGAATCACATAAAATAATAGGTCTTATTGAACTAATTTATTATTCTAATTTGTGCACGTAACTGTTGAAATAATTTTGATAATGAATAATCCCTGCAACAGGACCATTTCTATCTGAATACTCGAAACATAATGAATACTATATTACATTTTTCCAGATGTTAACATCGATGGTATTTACCTAGATGTATCCCCCCAAACACCTCGACTTCACAGATGTGTAGATAATTTTCATGATTTCGCAGTTGTACTCCGACATAACGCCCACTTAGCTGACAATCAAATGGGATTTTCTCTCCATATGTATTTGTACCCCAGTCTATTTGATCTCCACATTGGTCATTTTGCCTAATATCAGAATGTTCGCCAACTAACACCACACCTCCATTAATTCGATCAGCTGAAACATAGGGGAAATTTTCGGAGTGATATGTAAACATATATTGCTGTTTATATGGGGATGATAAACCTTTTAGAATGGATAGAAAACAATTACATGTAATGGAAAATAGTTTTCAGAGCACAATATTTTACAATCTTTACTTACAACAACAATCTTGTCGATTTGTAATTACCACTTTGGATATATCATACGTTGCTCCCAGATCGACTTTCCACCAACTGTTCATAGTCTTTGCAGTATGGCTACAACTTTTATCACCATATATGGAATCATCATTTCCATCAATAGCATAATTAGCTGGCCCGTCATAGGCGGTATTGATCTGACTTGCAGTTCCTTTTAGTGCGACATTTCCTAGGTAATATTATATATAAGCATGCTACGTTTAATATATAGATTTGTGTTCACTATTAGACAAATTTTATTTTTTTCTGTGATCATGCAGACACCGTGTTATCACTTTATTCAGTGTTTCCGGGATTGTAATTGTCTTGTCAGTGTTATATGCTATTGTAAAATGACATAATATTATCAAAAAATTAATTTAGTCAACATATTCTTTGCGTCTTCGCAAACAAGGGATATGCTTTGATATAAGTTATACATAAACTAAATATGTGAAGTATCTGGTGTATTTGCAGAGACCACTGTTCTACCTCTGCCAATTACAACGTTTTCGCTTTCCATCAATAAAGGAATAGGAAACAACAACGGAAAATGTACGCTGTTTTAGGTCAGTGGGCAAAATGTGTTCCATGAACACATGAACACATCACGGTGGGTTTAGAAGCAATGTTTAACACTTGTTTCTTACCTTCTGCCATGACCTGCATTTCACAAAAGTTGAGAAGGTCAGATCTATCTACCAGCTGTATACTGACGTAACGCCCAACGATAGGACTGCTACAATGGAAATGAATGTTCGACTGACTGGTTTGACTTGATGTTATTTTTTCACCACATTGACTATTTTGTGATATATCATCCGACAAACCGATTCGGATTTCAGCACCCAAAACACGTGTTTCTGAAATGTAATAATGAACCTTGTGTGAATCGCTTGATAAATACTGCTAGTGTCAATGACCCGCGTACGACTGGATTTGCGTGATTTAACATGTGTGGGTGATAGCGCTCCGAACTACACTTCATGTTGGCTCATATTCGTCTCCGTTCTTCGTTATGCTGATGACAAGTTTGCCAGATGCTCATTGAACTTGACCAGTGATCTTCGAGGCGCCGCAATTCTTCGGTACAGTAACGGAATCACGTTCGGTGGTTTAAACGGTACTTTGCTCCTGGCGTGCTTTCATAAAACCGTTCACTTCGTCTTGTATTTCATTTCCTGGTACTGGTCCAAGAATTTCACCAAGTTGACCCTGTCCTATCCCTGTCCTATCAACAGAGACCACTGCCTAATATCTATTTCGTCTGCTGTACCCATTATCGTCTACAGGTTTTCAAGGGAGCCGGTTAACAGGATGCGTAAACATATCCACCCGCAGTGCCAAACTTAACACGATTGCATGAAAAACTGTGTTACTGCCTATTAGAAATGTACTATTTTACCAATAAGAGTTACTTTTAAACATTAAGATATAAACTCTGTATTCTTCATGTTATTGAAGGCATGGAATACAAATATAACAGACCGAATATGGGCGTTTGTGCCCGAGCGCACATTGGCGGATTTAGATGGGGGCCGAGGGGGCCGCGGCCACCCCTATTTTTAACAACCAACAGGGCTTCGCGCCATCGGCGTTCGCAAACTTGCCCTTAGGCCAACTTATCGCGCCCCCTCCCTATTCTAGAATCCTAGATCCGCCCCTGGCGCAGGTGATGATTTGACCGACGTTAGGAGGGCAAATGATCTCCTTGGGCGAGGTAACACTGCATCGTATGCGTTTTGTAATAATTTCAACGTGTGTGAAAAACATTCAACGCATTTTGGAAGAAATGTCTACGCGAATAGACATTTTTCTAAACGACGTGAAAAACATGTTGTTTATGTCAGTGATGTAACCATTTTTATACACCGGCAAGTGTTTGGCAGCGCGAGTAGCGAATCATCAAACGTGTTGCAGCTGATGATTTATTGCGTCAACGAAAGAGAACAACTGTTGTCTTCCTATAATTCCAGGCTGCAAAATTTAACGTATCGGGCCTGACAGTTTCAATGTGTTGTCGAGACGATGAAGTTACTTGAAGTTATTTTAAGCAGTGAAGTAAAGCAGGTTTGGTTTTGGCTTCTGAATGGTCAGGATTAACATTTGGTGGAAATTAGAGAATGATTTGTGGATTGGGAAACTATGTTGACCTCCTTAGTACTTCAAATTAAATTAAATTTAAACAGCCTGTGTATGAGTAGCAGACATGACAGCATATCGGAGAGTTTTTTTTCCGGGCTACGCCATCACAACACCTGTATAGGTACTAATTTATATAAATTACGTTACGAAATTATTAGTGTGAAACACTGGAATAAAACGTGACTTAGGTATTTAAAAGTTTGAAGCGCCCTCACCAACCAGACTGGATGTGTGGCGTAGAGAGTCGATCATTGTGCGGCGAGCTTTTTACCGGCAGAGTAGTTTTAGAGATTTTGTTTTGATTCTTAATTTAGCATAAAAATAGCTTAATAAATAACAAGTGCAATGTAACAAAATTGTAAATGCGTCATAGCTAAGTATCAAACTGATTTTTGCTTAGATATATTCTGACACAGTTGATTTGTGTAATAGTTAAATAAGTTTACAACTGTTATTTTAAAAATCTAATAACAGTATTTCCATGCATGTGTTTAACCAGTTTGAATGACCTTATATCAGACATTTTTAAAATTGTGGCGAAACACAACTAGCATACACTGTTTAAGACCAGTGCAACTGTTGTTGTTGTTAGGAGAAATTGCGAATATGTCTAAAATCAACTTACCACAGCAATCTTGGCGATTAGTAACTATTACTTCATGGACAAGGTAAGTCCCACCGAGATCGACTTTCCACCAGGCATTTTGTTCGTCATTGGTGCTGGTACAGCTGCCGCTATTCCAGTTTGTATTCGAATTACCATCCACAGCATTGCTTGCCGGGTACGATGCCGACCAATCGCTGCTTTGAGTTGCTGTTTTACCGATCGCTACGTTCTCTAGCGTTGCTTGTGACTCTGAAATGAACGCGGTTAGAGGAATTGAATGGTGACTAAAGTACGAGCATCGTTGCTCTCGAAAACAGTTCCTGTCAATTGGACGTGGCTTTGAATGTCTGCTGTTCTGAGGAGTAGGGGTGAGTGGAATCCGAGACAGTTGAACTATGTCGATACATTTAAGATGCGTTTTTGTCAATTAAATAAATATGGTTTGACAGTCGCTGGTCTGTGAAGCGGACAATATTATAGTAAAATTAACTAGCGTATATTATAACAATCCACAAAAGATATTTTCGGAAAGTTGTCCTGGTATGCAATAACTTACCCAATATGAAGGCAGCTACAGCAATAATATTACATATCCATGACATATACATTGTTTATCTTCGTCCGTAATGCACGCGTTTGTTTTCTATTGCAGGAAACCTGAATGTGTGTTTAGTTTTAGTTACGATCTTTTGAATTTAGTTCATCTATTCTTAGTTATTGACAAATGGTAATGATATTCGTATATCATCTTTTACACGCATAGATGTACCTGCATGTTTACATTCAAACTTTTGATGGATGCATTTTTTTATAATTAGCTGTCCTAGAAACCGTATTTAAAAGCAGCATTTTCTCAAGAAGACATGAAAATAAATAAATAATAAACCCCACGTGGCATTTATTTAAATATCGAATTTATATATTTTTATGCACGTGTTCTCATTCTGTTAGACTGACCTTATACGAGTCATTTTTTTTTTTGTTTAAACCGTGGCGAAAATGTATGATATGCAGATAGCACTTCCGGCAATGTCAGTTCAAAATGGGAAATTAAACCGTGTTTAAATATTTAAATTATTCATATCCTAAAATTAAACATATTTAGGAAAACAGTTCCATTTCTTCGACGCTCAAACTTCAGTAAGTTGAGACAATTTTAGCTCTCACCAGGCCAGTAACCATCGTCTCTATGTAGTTTTTACCACTTGAACTCGGTGCTCGGATCAATTTCCGATGTGTTTCCTGTTAACGACCTCAACTTACTTTATAGAAAGTCCTGGTACATACATTGTTTACGAGAGCGTGTGACAATAGGTTTATATTAACGCTAAACACGTGCGCAGTATGGTGTGAAGTACTAGTATTGCTCGTTTTGTGCCATGTATATTTCTACCAAACACACACACGCGATGTATATATTGAAGAAAATTAGCATATCTCCTACCGGTCAATACGAATTCTGGTACGTCCTAGTTCGCGGTCATTCACTTGCGACATTGATAGCATGAAATAGTATGGAAAATGTTAAAGCATGGTGTATAAGTGTGCGAAAAATCAAGGAAACACAAAAGCGAAATTAGTCACCGAGCAAAAACACGTGCGGCATATGGACTACACTATTTGCCTATACCTAAAATGTTTAAGTTGTAATATAGCACGTTTAGCAACTTTTAGCAAATGTCTGAATAACAGTTCATTTTTGTGCACTGTTTTACCGAGATAAGTTTATGTCACGGTCAGAGTTTGAACCGCCGGTGCTGGCACAGTCATTATTTCGGACTCAATTTCAAAACCACAGGTCTTTATGTTCTCGAGCCCGTGTCAGTATCCAGGTATACAAATATCATTTTGAAATTGTATGAACACTGTGAGAGAAAAGAGCATCACTAAAGAGTTCAGCAAGAAACACGAGGCTAGGATTTTGCTTATAAACTTTTTTTATATACAATTGTAAAAGTCGATCATCGGCTTTAATTCAAATTCAAAATTTCTATAGTGATTAGCTCAAGAGCCCATAAGAAGCGTGCATGCCTTAACGTGACATAGCAACTGCGACAAAATTCTAAAAAAAATGTATATTTATAAAACGTTTATAACTACCATAGTTTTATGTTCTTTGCTGTATTTATTGAATTATAAAATCATCGAAGAATGCAAATATGGGGCATTTCTATTGCTTATTGTCGCTGCAGGTCGGCGTCCCGCAAAGATTTCCGGAAGTTTGATCGAAACGGTTAATTCTAAATAATTATAAATGAAACTGTACAAATAAAATGGTCCTAATAACATTTTGTAATCAGTAATAAGTTCACGCTGCTTGTTCCTTTATCGGAGTGCGTTTCACGCGTGATTTTTTTGTTGGCGTTTGAAGACGTTCTATTTCAAGGTAGTTGAAACTTTAAATTACGCTGGAAATTTCGAGCTTTATCCGCTTTATCATATGTTAATTCTGCTGTTTCGAAGACTTAATTATGTATAACATTATTCTTTTACACACTGAAATATGTAGTTAAAAATGTTCCGTATATATAAACTATATGCTACGTGATAACTAGGACGACAGTTTTTACCATCCCTGCTCGCAGTGCCGGGGGAAAGTTCGTGAACGATGAAATCGATAGGTAAAAAGGTGTTTAGGTAAATTTTAAGATAAATGTTATACGTTTTACATAATCTCGTGACACTATTTTCGCGGATTCCTGTGGGACAATACGTTGCGGTTATAGAAAATAACCAAATGAAATGACAAGTTGCAATAAACTTCAAATTGTATCCTCGGGGGCGGAGCCACGTCATGGACGTTCTACGTTGCTAAGACGCTCACCACTGTACCACGTATTTCTATGGGCTTTGTGCGCGCTGCTGTGGAACGACGGTGGAGCCGGTGAAAACTCGAGAAAACAACACAAACTCAACTTAAAAGTAATCCTGAACAACCAAATTCATATGTGTTACATATGTAGGGCTAATCTTGTTACACTGTTCAGGGGACTCTTAACAACCATCGCAAAGTACCGTTTCCTGCGAGTTTTTGGTCTTTCTTTTCACCGCGAGGGTTGCCAGGCGGTAGAAAATACCCGGATGTCCGCCCCGAGGATTGCTAACAGAAAGCCTGCTGTCGCGAGAGGGCGCCGTCAATTTGGAGGGAACGTTTCGAAGTATTTTGCTTTTAAGCCATTGTCGAAGCAACATCGCCCCTTTTACGATTAGATGGAACCATTTCAGCTATTTCTGTACAGAATCATCATCATTGAAATATACGGTTCTAAAATTGATTGTATTGCAACATAATTCAACCGACAACTAGTTTGGTGCTACTAGCTTCTTCTCCAGTCGTGTGATTTCACTGCGTTCAAAATTGATCCTTTTCAAACTGCGCATGTACACGCACACAGATTTCTCGAAATACATTCTAATTAGGTGCCTTGTCATTAGTAAAAGTTGTTTAAAACATTATGCGCAATTTCTAGCAATAGACCGTGACTAGAGTGAAATACCAACGTGTCCCTGTATTCTCCATGAATGTCGTAACAGTTTGCTGATACTCAAAAAACGCTTTTTTTTCAGCTCCAACTCGTAATGATAAAATTTATAGCTGTCATGCTGGCTATCGGAAAACATTTCGGAACAGTTCCACTGAAAAGACGAGTTTTTCATTGCTCATGAATATAAATTTATGCAAATGAGACGATTCTTTTCAGACAATCCCGTCATGCACCCCACACATCGCACGTACTTTCATTGGGTAACATGTTCACGGCGGCACTGTCTACGCGTTTAGAGGATTTGTGAAATCAATAGATAGTCCAATATAGCGAAACACCAGCGTACAGAAGGATTATGACGTCATTGATACTTTGATCCTGTTTAAATGATATTTTTTTAAATAAATTCATTACGTCCTTATTTTCAATCTGTAACTCGTGTACAGTGTAATGACAACCACATCCTAGACTGTGATACCGGGATACAAATAGAACAGATCAGTTCACTGGCATGCCGTCGCTAGTATTAATTCCATGGTACAAGACGGCTTATAAACCTACACCAACCAGGGGCAAGTACTGATATTAAATCGGGTTCGCCTGCGAGCGTTTGTACATGATTGTGTTTCATTTCAACAGATGAACAGCATTCGTCTAGTGCTTGAACTTGTGTTATTAAGAGACCAAACAAAATACAGTGTCACCGTGGTAGACAACGGGTTGACTGTATTTATTGTTAGTGTTGAACAAATTTACGTGAAGCCTCGTCTTCGCCCGGGAAACTAGCGTACCTGTCAATGATACATGGGGTAAGTACGTGAACATATGTGACGTTTCGAGCAGCGCTGTCCTCCGAATGCATCGTCACACGTAGAATTGAATCTGACGTGTAGCTAATACGCCGAATGCAATACCATTGTAGCCATACATATCCCCCAACACACTGTATGTATTTACTCATTGTATAGCAGTGAGCGAATAGTATAAAAACACACAGAATAATTAATATTGTGGGCGTGAAGGTTTTTCTTTCTCTTTTTTAAGAAAGTCTTTGGATATTTTATATATGTTTACGAATAGATATTCAATGCTATACAAGGACATATGTAAACATAAATAGGTGAACGGACATATGTTTTTTTTTAGATTAACGTGATATTACTGTATGTTATTTCTATGAGAAAATTATTACACGAATTTATGCAATTTATTTCAAACTCGGGCATAATTTTGAAAAATGGGAGGTATGGATCTATTTGCACTAATATGACAGTTTAGGTAATTTGCTCTATGCTAACACATGGAAGATATAACGTTCTATCCACATGCCATAGCCGCACTGGCATACTTTGCCGTATTCTCCTTATATTACACGTCTTTTTCTTGTTGTAATATTCATTTATTGTGAGATAACAGACTGTAGTGTCATCGAACAACGTGGTGCGCTGTGTGAACGTTTGCGTTCTGTGAAGTGATTTGATTTGACATATTACGTTGGTATGGCGTGTCACGGACAGATGAATTCAGATGTTTTCGGTGTCAGATGTATAATTATCAATTTTATTTTAAAATCACTCCCTGTGGTCCACATACTTGTACAGCTATCTTTATGATGTATATATGTGTTCCGTTATATCACACAGTTCAACTCATAGTTTCTATATTACACCTCGATAAACTTGTGATACATATGTGAGAACAGCCTGGATTCGAGAAGCTGATTGATTTAAGAACACCCCGTCAATGTTTTCCATGCCCAAGTCTGCCAATCACGACTTATCTAAATGTTGTTTAAACACACCTAACAATTAAAAACTAATTTTGAAAGATTTAAAATGAGACACCATACAAACGCAATAGTCTACTCTAGAATGCAAGGGGTGCATAAGGTCAGGAAATGCCTGGAAAGCATCTCTAAACATGCTGCGTCTTAAATAGCGGCTTGGCGGGACGCATGCAGCAGTATACACCAGTTGTATTTATTTCAGACTGCAAGGAGTTCCTAACCAGCCCCGCAGATATTCATTATACGACACACCCGGACATCTGCCTTCAATTTGCGCAATAGTTTATTTGATATATTGGTGGTCTATGTTATAGTCTCCATTTCGGCGAATCTGTTC